GTTCGATCTTATACATTACCCGGAGAAAGTAGTTGTATATCAGAAGATTTTAGACAGGAAATCGAGTCGACATTTATTCAAGCTGTTTAATGGGAAAATTGTCAAAACTACTAACAATAATTACATCACTGAAAACGGGAGAGTAATTAGAAAGAACCACATATCGCTTAAACCGAAATTCAAATCAGTATACTGTTCAAATTTAGGTACAAAGACACTAGCCGCAAGCACACCGAGGGAACCATTGCACCAGTGCAGTTCAAGTGGACCAAATAGACCAATACACCTTTTGCCAAGACCAGATGTTTCATCGGCGACAGAGAACTCAGATGCAAAGAACAAGGAGGGGCCATTCGCAAAATTGGACAGACTGCAAGCCAAGACGATGAAGTTATATTCCTCATTGACGGAAATAGTAAAGAAGAATCGGCCAACTCGAGCATCCAGATACATAGCGTCGCTAAAAGTACTAAGAGAAATTCTAAGCGGTGGAATAATCGACCTGACTATGTCATCGAGAAGTTCTCCAGAGCACCAGGTGCAGGTGGTACCTCGGTACCAAATAAGCCAGAAGCACAAACGACAGAAGAATGCCTAAATTCCGTAGTGCCAATCTCCACAAAGGAGGTGAAGGGTACGAGCCAGGCATTAGAGAGAATTGACTGTCCAATATCCTCAGTACCAATAACAGAGAAGAATAAGACACAAAGCAATCCAGAGGAAGGTCAGCAATTGGCAGAAACGGAGAATTTAATTACTTCGCAGAATAAGGAAAGAAAGACGGATGCAAAGATAACCACAACTTCAGGAGTGGCGGAAAAGAAATTTGAAGAAACTAAAACAACAGACAATACAAGACCAGGTTAAAGGAAAGAGAAAAAGAGCGGTGAAGGAGATAAGGACTCACAGGTCTCGAGCAGTTCAAGGTCGTCGGGCAGAAGTAAGCGGCAGACACAGTTCTTTGGAAGCCCATTAAAACATTCAGTCAAGAACATTGAGGAGAAATCCGGACTGCAAACGAGTCCAATTTCACCGGGAGATATTCCGTCGTCATCAGGAAATACACCGTCACCATCACCGAGGAGGAAACTAAGGAGACCAACATTCGCGACTAATAAGCCGGAACAAGTGCAAGGAAAAAAAACTCTCTGATACTTAAGCTTTTAAAACTCATTGATTAAATTGTTTACTGTGAACTTGTGACTGAATTTCATACGTTGTCTTAAATTTTCGAGAGGGTGAAATGTGGTGGCAGTGAGTTGACCACCTAGGATAGAGGACGTATTGAATGAGCTATGCATCATCATGTTAGAGATCAATTGGTTAATGCGAATTGAAGACCTGCCAATCATGTCTATTATTCGAACAGCTTGGTGGTGCTAAAAACAAGAATCGCTCTTCGTTAGCTATTGCAACATTATAGTTACCTTCTATTCAATGATCCATTTTTACTTATCTAACTTTACTATTAATTCAACTGTTTTATTAGTTCAGTTTTCAGATGAGATTTAGGGAATATCACAACCAGAAAGTTGTTGAACAGATTTTTTTTTCACAGAATATTTGAACATACTGGTAATTGCTTTTAAATTGTGAACACCAATTTTTTGAGCTTAAAGTGATTTTTGAAATTGAAATTATGACTGAAAAACTTGTAGGATATCTTGATATGATCTACGAGCTTTCATTGAAGTACCTGAAAACGTTTGAAGAAAAACTATTCAAGGCCAGTTGCATTTCCAACTGCGTTACTAAACAGGACAGAAAAAAACCTTTGGCGTTTATGAGGATAAGTCGTCACTCGGTAAGTCGCAATCAGTCGAGCAAATGACGGTGGCACAAATTAGCACTAGTGACCGGATCATAAAAATTTGTTATTTTTTAAAAAAGTTTCTTATGCCATCTGAAAGATATAGTTTTCCTAATGTTCAAATTAAAAAATCCTTGATCTTTTTTTGTTATAGAGAAAATTCTATATTTGGCACAATTTAGATAGTTAACTTGCAATGAATTTCCTCTGGTGAACTAAATAATTTAAAATTGAACGGATGCCAGCAATTTGGTTTTATTAATACAAAAATTAATGCAAGTATACTTTACCTAGCATTTTGAGGATAAAAAAGTAAAAATTTTTCTTCGATGTTAATGGGCAACTGGAATATTCAAGCTTCACATTGGTACGAGCAGCACATAAGCAACAATACAATAATTTTTAAAACATTGCCAGTTGCAAAATGTATCACTTTGTTTTTACACTGCAGCTGGTGAAAGAGAATGAAAAAGATTTCTCATAGGCAAACGCCTGATTGTTTCGAATCTCCTTCAACGTCTATAAAAAAAACTGAAAAGTATTGGAAAAAAGTAAATAAACTCTCTGTTGAATTTTTGAAGTAGAGCGAGCATCATACCTTTCAGATATAAAAAAAATTAGAAAAAAAAACCGCTCAAAAGATAATTTACAGAAAGCTCAAATATTTTCTCTGTGTCTGGAAAAAAATGGTTTAAGTTTTTGATTTTTAGTTCAATTCCGATCAAAAAATGCGCACGAGTAACGTTTGTAATAGAAACTTAGTGTTTTCTTTATAATTTTAGGCTCAAAAACTTAATTTAACTACCAAGAAAAGTAGTTTTGAATGTTACTTTCAGCGGTTTTTGACAATAAAGATTTTCAACCAGATCAAAATTATTGTAATGTAAATTGAAAAAAAAATTTTAACTTTTTTTTTCATTTTCTGTTTGGTATTCAATTTTTAAAAACTTAATTTGCTGATCCAGCCTAAATTACAAAGACTTTCGCGATCGTATAGTTCTCGAACCACACCACCCTCTAAAATTGACATTAATTTGAAAAAAAAAACATTATAAAAATTCATAACGAGGTCAAACTGTTTTTTTATGTGAATTGTAAGCAGTTTCCCCAAAAAAGACGCGCTCTTTGTTCTCTTTTTGTTCTTTCATTCTCTTTGGTTGTTCCGACAAAAAAAATATTTTTTTAAGAATTGTTTTAGGATTCAAGAGACATAAAAATACCACATGGTTCGCCTATCCAGCGCACAGTTTGACCTCATAATGTTTTCTCTAATTATGTGTAATGAAAATGGTCAGAAGATTTTAAGCTACTTGCATAGCAACCGGCTATAATTGTTTCTTTATGCGAACTGTTTTTCAATATCTTAAATTTAATACTTTTTTCGGGACCCAGGGTGATTGATTGACGACAGTGTAGATGGAGTGTAAATCTATAATAAACTTTGCATACAATTCTTACAGATAAAGTCATGATTGATTCTACATGTATAGAGTTTTCATGTGTAAAAAACGAACATAACGGTTTTCAAAAATGTATAATTGTCCAGTTAATCAATTATCGAGGGAACCTTAGACCGTACAATTGATTATCTGATTCAATATATTCGAATGCTCTTGGAATAGAAATTTTAATCAGAATCCATAAACTTGATGATTATTTTCTTAAAGTCATTAACATTAAAATGTTTTCCTATAAAAAGTCCATAAAAATTGATTTTTTTTCGGCGAAAAACTTCGCTATTGCCAATTGTAAACTTCTTCATTTATAAATTACCCCTATAAGTTATTATGAGCGAGAAAAAACATTTTATAGATGAAAAATAGTTTAAAAGTCAATTAAAATATAATACTCTTTTTTTTGGATAAACTTTAATTGATGACTTTGAATTAAAAAATTTTTGCTGAAAGTCAAGTTTTTTAAATATCATCAATAAAGCTCCAGTGCGCGTCGTGTAACGCAGTCAAGGCAATGAGATTAATTTTTCCCGAGTTTTGACTTTCAGCATCATAAAAAATATCTTCAAACCTCACATAAGTTAGTCCAGAACATGGCCATGTTGGCAATTTTAAAACCCCTAAATGACCACAAAATAACTGCAAAACAGTTTTCGTTGTTGTTTGATTTTCAAGAGGCTTTTGTAAAATGATAAAAGCCTCTTTAATAAGCAAAAGACTTAGTTTTAGTGTCTTAGTCCGGGAAAACTAGTTCCAGAAAGTTAATTGGCGCTTTTCCGACAATAATAAAATTTTACAACATAAAGAAATTACTCTGCAAAAACAGAAAAAAGTAGCTGAAAACTAAATTTGTACCTCGTCTGCTTTTTTGATCGCAACAATTACAAATCATGATATTATATAAAGAGAAACTTTTTTTTTTGAAAATGGTCGAAATTTTCAGGGATACCTGCATTGCACGGGTAAACTGGTCAAAAGTTTTAACTCTCATTTTTCTCGCATTAATTCTAATTATTTGAGAGCAGCGAATCCAGAGTTTCCATTGGTTTTTTTATTCGTTATTCGTTATTCCTTATTCGGAAACCATTAATTATTTTAAACCATCTAATCGTTTTCACGCTCTATGTTTATTTGGATAGCTGGTTATTTAACTAATCTTAAAAGTTATTGAAAATGCATTGTAATCATTTTTTAGGTGCGCAACTTTGTTGTAGAAGTGCCTAGAATACTTTTTCAAAAAGTATTCGATTCAAAATTTAGTGCCAAAAAACTTGAAACCAACTAATGCACAATAATTCTAGATATTTTTCTAGATAATTCTAGATAATTTTCTAGATAATTGTAGATAAAGTTAAAAGATTCTAATTGAACATTGTACATTCCAATTTTTTTCTCATAATGTTAACTTATCAATTCACAAAACATAATTCCAGGTGATACAGCAGAACGAGCTTTTGTATAAAATTAGATTAAATTTTCAGAAAAGATTTAATCTAATTTTATACAAAAGCTCATTCTGCGGCATTTGAAATTATTTGGTGTCATTGAGCTGCATCCAAAAATCTTAGGCGCTGGCAACTTTTAAAAATCAAGCTAATTAAATTAAGCAAATATTATCACATCAAAACACTGTTTTCGCAGCACTTTTCGTTCTTATAAAATTTATATACGTTTGATCTAATTAAAAAAACTAAAACAAATACTCATATGAAATCATAACTCATAAACTTCAACGACCATATTAGTTAATCGATTTTGCTCACAAGTGTGCTCAACTTTGGTCTCAGTGTAAATCGGTGTGTTGTTTGAAAGAATGGCGTACATTGTCTAACATGTTCAATTTTGCCGTGTTATTTCTTGCATGCGCAATGATAGTTATCATAGACGTTTCGCCTGTGTCTTCTGGAGACGCGAATCTTCTGCAGAACGAGGAGGAAGGAGGTCTCGATTAGTTAGTAAGAATTAACTCTTTTAATCAAAATATCAAGCTCAGAATGGGCCAATATAGTCAATCCCTATCCAGCCAATCATAATTAAACCAGGACCCTCAGATTTTCAAAAAAAGTTTCAAAAAAATCTCAAAACTCTCATTTAATTTCCCTTGCAAATTATAGATTAAAACTTTAAAAAATAAATAATTTCTATGATGACTATTATTCAAAATCGTAATCTTTTTGATTTCTTAAAATCGTATTCTTTTTTTTTAAACGACTACTTTGAAAACTATCCACAATTCCCATAACTTCATGATATGAATTTTTCATTGGCAAGTTACATAGAATTGTATGAGTACCGGGGTCAAGGTCTGCGATTAAGAAGACGTTGTTAAAATTGTCACATACCCTTTTTAGTCGGAATTTCGTAGTTGCACTACGGGTTAAAATCGCGCCACTTTCTTCTCCCAAGTCGGAATTTCGTAGTTGCACTACGGGTTAAAATCGCGCCACTTTCTTCTCCCAAGTCGGAATTTCGTAGTTGCACTACGGGTTAAAATCGCGCCACTGTCTTCTCCTAATACTTTTTCTTAAGTCGCGCTGCCATCTTTTTTTTATGTCGCTCTCCCAGTCCTTAGTTAAATCGCGCATCCGGTCCTTGCCAGGTTTTTTTTGAGTTGATCCACTAGTTTTTTCTTTACAGGCGCCGCCAGTCTTTACTTGTCGCGCAGCCAGACTTTTTTTTAATTTCATGCCGCTAGTCTTTCCTTAGTTTGTGCCTCCACTATTCTGTTGAGTTACGCTGCTAGAAGTTTCCTTAAGTTGTATTACAAGTTTTTTTTGAAGGAGCACCTCCAGTTTTTGGTAACTAGCGCCGCAAAATTGAACAAAAAATATTGCTTAGAAATTCACAATGAGTATTGCTGAACTAAATGCTTACACATAGTTCCGACAAGTATACGCATTTTTTCAGCAACGATAAAATTGTCACAACAAAAACAGGATGCACATCACTACGAAAGCAGTCCTCGGCTTAGAAAAAAGACTTTGTAAGTCGCGCCGCACTCTGTTTTGAAGTGAATATGGAAGTCGCTCGGCGGGTCAAATTCGCACAAATCAGTCTTCTTTTTAGACACCAGCAGTCTGTTTTAAAAAAAAGCTAGTGGCGCAAGTTCAGAAAAGATTTTGCAGCTGCGGTGGTTTTATTTCAGTTGCGCCGGTCTTGAGTAACCAAGTTTGAATCGCGCCACTCTGGAGTTGCTAGAACGAAAACGAGCCGGGATCAAGTTAATATCCTCCCCATACCCCCCCCCCCCCTCAGATAGACTAAGTTAAGAACCTCCACCCCAGCGCTTAGTTTAAATTAAATTTGCCAAGCGCTGCATGTAAAATGCTCGAATCTGATTGGCTGAAAAATCCCAACGTAGAGCCAAGTTAACATCCTCCCCCCAATCGACTTTGGGTGGATGTTAACTTGGTCCACGAGCCGGACTGGAATTGCCAATCTTTTCTTAAGTGGCGGAATTCGTTTGGAGTAATTTTTTGATGTATGAATGTCTGTTTAGACAGCTTCTGGTTCCTTATTACTTATGGCTACGCACTGAGCCAGCCCGGTTTTTGTTTTTGTTCTTTTTTCACTAAATTTGCTGAATTTTGGTGAAAATTAAACCAAAACTTTTTTTTGAACTAAATGGTTTGAGATAAAACTTATTATTTAAAATTCCTCATAGAAAAAGATGTGCAAAAGCTCAAATTTTTGGTGAAAATTAACCCAAAACTTTTTTTTAAACTACATGGTTTGAGATAAAATTTTTTATTTAAAATTCCTCTGGGAAAAATATGTGCAACAGCACTATGATACCGTGGTCACACGAAAAAGCAACTATGATAGACGAGTCCCGCAAGCATTTTGCATTTTGCATGTTACAATTTTGGAAACTAATTTGTGAATAATTTGCTCAAGTCAAAAATCTCGAGAAATATGTTTGGTCAAAAATTGTTTAGATTAATAATTGTAATTAATATATGCTTCTTTAAACTTATTTTACGGTTTAGCAACCATAATTGGGTTGAATTATTTGTCATTGAAACTCAATGTTGGCGGCTTTTTTAGTTAACCGTAAAATGGTGAGGGGGAAAATTTTTCGAAGCAATTAACATAAATTTATTCGAATAAAAACAGCGAAATTTCTCTGAAATTCTTTCCGGGGTTACATCACCGATAAGCGATTTAAGTGCGGTTACGAATTTGTTATATAATGATAAGCGCTTATTGCTAAGCAGAGCATAGACACAAAGTGGATAAAACCCGCCAATCTGGATTTGTACGGTGTACAGCTGGTAAAACTGACTGGGGCAAGTTTTGAAAGTACCGTCTACAAGCCAGGTTTTGTTGTACAATTTAAGTGCATTGAGGATCTCAATGTCGCCAAAAATTATTATGCGTTCCGTATCTAATTTTCCGCTATCAAATAGACAAACTTGCTTAAAACGATCGGGTCATCTGTGGCAATAGTGGGCAGGGATGTCGTTTGCTTACTTCTGTTTAAAAATTGCGTTAGCGCCGACCGAGAGTGCAAAGACAGTTGGGTTGCTTTGTCGTCCTGCACCAATTGCAAACTAGCTGCGATTATCTGGCTGTTTACTGGATTTAATTGATTCCTAACTGTTTCCTTCAATTGCTGAACTAGTTGCCGAGCTTCTGGGCGTCCTTCGTTGAGCTCATGACTATGCTCGTTGCTCTGTGAAATTATATCGCTCCCAGAAGTGTTTAAAGTTTTCGAGCATTTATACGATCTCCTTTTGCTGCAGCGCCAGTGTGTAGTTGTCTTCGTATCGCGTTTCTTTTGAAATTCATGGCCGTCAAGAATAATCAGTGTTTGGCCTTTTTGTGAGGTTCCCCACGTAAAAGAATTCAAATTTGACTATTCAATAAGTAAAAGAGGGAGATAATGAACGCATAGTGTATACATTTTCAATTGAGTTGTTCTAATTCAATACCATATTAACACTTAATTAAACACATGTTGGCACTATGTTAATCCCAAAAGTGAGTCCAGTTTAATTTTAGTTATCTCAAATTTTCATTGTTTTTTAATAGCGCGAACCTAATTGAGATATCATTACTCTAGATATATTTCTGCTTACACTTTGATCATGATTTTTGTTCATAATTCATGGGATATTTTTAATTGGCATGGGATTTTATGGCATGGGCGATTTTGTACAAGGGATGTTTTAGTATGGTATCTTTTTCATGGGAGCTTTTGGTAGGATCTTTTGTCCTGACACCAAAATTATACTGAGATAGGCGTTGAGACTTGTATATTTTTTTGCTTATGAAAAAAATACTATACTCAGAATTTTTTTAGCGTTGTATGTGTAGACTTTTATGCGTAAAGGTTTGTCTCTGGATTCCGGGGAAAACACAATTCTGCTGGACTTTTCCGGCATAGTTTTTTGAACTGCATTGGAAAGATCCACTTCGAGATCTTGTATTACTTCACTTTTTAGTTTATGATACAGATTACGTAATTCAGCATTCTATTCTAGTGAGATGATGATTGTGTATGCATTGGCCGTTTTCTCTCTCCTGATGGTGATTGGATGTCTGTTGTATGGAATGTGCCACATGATTGGTAAGCTTTTGTACACAGAGCTGTAGATAAAATTTAGTAAATAAAGTTATCTCAAATATTTTATCTAAAATTTAGCCACTCGAAAATAATCCAACAGATTTCAATTAGTTTGAAAATGGTTACAAAGGTGTGCAAGATAGGGATTAAAACAACAATTGATTGCAATCAGTTTATTTAAATCTTGCTGCAAAACTCATTCTAACTGTACAATCAAAAACAGAGCCAGGGAGCACCCATACAAGAATCAGATTTAAAATGATGAAGACAGAAATTGCCATACTTTTGGTTATACTTTAGGACATCCATTTTTGGAGGGAGTCTTTGTATTTTTCAAAAAAAAAAATTGAAGAGCGGAGCCCGCACCAAATGATAGCTGAACTTTGATTCACATTCTTTTTTAGACACTAAATCAGAAAAAAGAGAAGATAGTTCTGGCACTGTCTACAATCAAGTTCAAAATGAGGCAAAGTAATGCAACATCATGTTACTTCTAGAGGTCTGAGCATATCTCAACTCTGCTTCAACATTCGGAAAATTGATACCAATGTCTTGTTGTACATTTTAAGTTTGACCTTGTAATTTAGATATGTAGATATTTATTTCTTTTGTATCTCAAAAATTTATAAATTCTGTTTTCAGCCAAGAGTTTTTGTATTTATATATCAAAAAAGATTTCTCCTGCATCTCGATTTGAAATGCTGCAACAGCCATCATGGGAAATGAAGATTATTAGAAATGACGATTATTAGAAAGATTATTAGAGCTAATTTTTGTGAACCGCAATCATTTTGCAGTCATTGTAAAAGGAAGCAAAAAGGAAACTGTCCAAAAATATAGCTATAAAAATTTTTGATACAAAAATAAGTATGATAAAAATACAACAAAAGAACATCAAAACACACACTATAGCTTTTTAAATACATATAATAAATAGCTATTACTAAAAACACGAAATACAATTGTTTTCGAGGCGCAATCAGATCGTAAGCCAGGTAAGCAAATTGACAACAAGTGCGAAGCTAGTCATAGACACGCAGATTGATAGCTGTAACAAGACTGATCGTAAGCCCTGAATGTTCCAACTGCTCTTTAATTGGTCTCGAATAGTATTTGGTAAATTAAATATTGGCAAAACTATGAACTTTAGGCTGATAATATCAAAATTTAAGTGTTATAAGTGGCTGTATAAAATAGCATGTAGATAGAATAGCTCAAATTTTGCTAGCTTTATTTACGTGTTATAGAGAAATTTTTGTAATCAAATTTGCAATTCTGGAAGAGCAATACATATCGTGATTCTGAAAAACTGGATGAACAAATCGACATGGCCATTTCGTGGAAGATGCATGTCTATTTATTCATTTTCGCTATTTTTTGTCAGACAAAAAACGGAATAAGAGCTAATTCAATTCTTTGTTGTGCTCATTTCTGATTTAGTTTATTGAGATCGATAGGTGGAAAGTTGTGGATAGTTTTAGTATCAAGAAATCTGATGGGCTAACATGTAATTGAACAGCTTTTCGAAAATTTCGAATTTTTATGCTATTTTACCTTTATGCTAAAGCTACTGTCCCCTACAAATTGAGTCGTGTATAGAATTTAAAAACCCATTAGCTGCATCAACTCAATTTAGAACGGTTTTGTGGTGCGGACTAATTTGCTACGTGTAAAGTTTAAAACGAGCAGTTAAATTAGGTTCTTGGTAGGTTGCTATAGTAGTTTTGACACCCGGCTGCTCCCATACATATTAAGAAATCGTTCCCCCGAGGAACCAGAGTTTCGTAATATTCGTTTGAATAAAAAAAACACTCGAGTATTTATATTTTTCACTTTCTTCAAAAGTCTGAACGAAAAATTGCCAACAAAAATCAATTGCGCTGAAAGCACTATTAATTTTTTAAAAAGACATCAAATTACATCTTGATAGAAAACCTATTTTGAAATGTTTTTGAAATTCAAACTACTGCTGAAAAACCTTTCAAATGATCAAAGCTAAACTCAAAGTTTTTTTTGTGCTGTAGTTCCATCTCTTCTCTCGGATGTTTGAAACTAAAATAATTTAAAAGCTAAGAGTTGTTGTCAGTTAGCTTGTACATTTATAAACCTCTGGTATCTAGAGATGAAAACAGAGGGCGTTTTGTACCTTGCATCTAATGAAATGAAGTTTAAAAACTTACAAACCAATTAACAGCTACTCTTAGTGTATCTCCAAGAGAAGTTCGTATCTCCCAAAGACAGCAACATTCCCAGAGAAGAGATCAAACTACAGAAAATAAAAATTTCAAGCGCACTTCTCTTGTTTTTTTGGACAGATAGGGACTTTAAAAGGACAGATAGGGACTACAAATTTACGTGTAAATTTGTAAATCGAATCGAGTCTACCCCATAAAGTTTGTAAAATCCAATCAGGTAAATTTGTTAAAACCAATGAAGTCTACCTTATAAAAATGTTGTATAAAAAGCGAAGTCTACCTTACAAAAATTTATAAACTAAAAAACGCTATTAAGCAAGTTTTATTTAAAAACTCTGATAATAATCGGTTTCTTTTAAAATTCGTTTTTTTTTAAAACTAGACTTAGATTATAATTTCAAAAAAGTTGTTGTTGAAAAAAGGACCACTGAGAAAAGGGATTCTAAACATGCAGCATTGGAAACTCTAATTTAAGGGATAAATCTCTCCCGTTCTTTAAAATTGATTCGAGTTTTTTTGTTTAAAAATTGATCAATTCAAAAAAATTGAATGATTTGCTTGTCCCCTACTATGTTCAAAATCAAGAACTAATTTTGATTCTTCTACCGGCATCCAAATTTAGGCGTAAGTATTCGATTTTAACGGATTATGATGGTGATTTTTCGACAATTATAGTTGATTGATATTTTACCAAAACAAGGTGTTACCAAAAAATTCGATCATAATCGTAAATTTTTCCAAAAGTTATAATCTCTTGAAACTCATTGATATTGATTGTAGTTTGTACAAAAAACCTTTATATTCGATTATAATCGATTATAAACGTCAAAACTATCAAAAATCATTCTCGTTTATAATCAATTAAAATTGATTATAAATGCTGCATAAAACTCCTTATGATTGACTTCAATGGATTATAAGTACTGAACTGCTTCGCAAAAAATTAAACTAAAAAAAAGCTACAAGTATGAGTATGCATACTTTTAAATCGAAAGGGTTTTTGTAGTATTTAAATTTTCTAATGAAGATATTTCAAGAAATTTGCTGGTTGTGATTAATTGAATAATATGTGAAATAATGGTGGTTTAAAACTCGCCGAAACGAATAATTTGTGACCTTTAACGCACGATATAAGTCGCTTGAATATCGTCTAAGAGGCAAAAAATCACAATTCAGAAATTGTTCAAAAACTATCAACTGCTAAATTAGCAAATTTAAAATCTTCATAGTTTAACCTGCAGGATAAAAACATCTGTATTTGTTCAATTGACTTTTTTTGATTTTTCTATTTATTCGCATAAAAGACTACAGAAGAGTTAATTTCTAAAGTATGAAGCAATTGGATTTCTTGTATAAAGGAAAAGCTCTGAAGGCTTCCCATTAAAAAAATATTTCCGAGTAGCTCATTTTAAAGTATTTTTGATTTACTCTAAATTTGGTTTATGTTTTTCCCATTTTAATCTTTGTGCTCATATTGAAAAAAGAACGAAGAAAAATAACAATTTCATTAGCATAAAACAATAGCAACTCTAGTATAAGAAAATATTTCGAATTAGAATATTTTGATTTTACGAAGGAATAAATTTTTTTTAATTTGCTGGCCTCATTTCGTCTTGGAATGTTTTTGAGTCAGTCATGGTTGGCGGCGTTGAAACGATACGAAATTAAGATCTGTAACTCTGACAAATTCCAAAAGTGCGCATCAATATGATCGCACGGCCAACTTGGTGTTTTCACTCATTATCCCTCTCTGCCCTTTAACACCATTAACATTTTACGTTTCTCGATTTAAGGTCGCTGGTGGGCGCACTATGCACGCATTGCAGCTTCCTAGGAATAAACGGCTCTAATTTTTGTTGTTCCCTTTGTTCAAAAATTGTTCAAAAACTAGCAACTGCTAAATTAGCAAAGTTTAAATCATTCATTTCATGGTAAGCTGGCCACACAATGGCGCGACTGAGGCCGTTATTATTAGCTACATATATCTACATAATTTATCGATTTTAAACTTAAAAATGTATTTATGTTTTGATGTTAGTTTTTGGTATTTTGCAATTAAATTGTCAAATAAGAGTTGAATTGCCTGGAGTTATACTGTGAAAGAGTGAAATGACTGGCTTTAAAATGTTTGATGATGTATTGCTTAGTGTTAACTTGTAGGGCACGGTTTTGAAGTTTGGAGTTGATATCTTCACTGGGGTAGGACACGGGTTGGAGTTGATATCTTCACTGGGGTACAAAACTATTTGTTAATTTTTTTACTTCCATTTTTTTATTTTTGTGAAAATGTTCCTAATTCACATCAAAAAAGTACACCAAATCTACAAAAAAAAATTTCTCGAGATGTGGTTAGAGAATCTTCAATTTTTTTAAAATCAAATTGAATCATCTATCGCATTTGTTTGTGTGTAATCGTTGATGTCAAATGAATCTCAAATTCCAAATGCAAATCTCTCAATCTTTAAATTTTAACCAAGCACAATTTAAAGTAAAAATATCAAACTTGGACTATTTGATCAAACAAAAATATCTATTTGGTAAAATTATCAAACTTGGGTCAATTTTTTGAGACGAACTTGTTTGCGCGATGCCATTATTTGCGCAAAAGAGCTACTCCATGATTATCCGAATTGCCAATTTTTGAGCCCATATAGTTTTACAAAAAATTTTCAATGTCTAGTGAAATGTCTCTTTAAACTTTCAGACCAGAAAATCAATATTTCTTAGATACCAAGCTAAAACATTATATTAGTTTCGTCACAAAGTTTGAACTTCAAATACGCTGTTTAAAATGTTTATTTCCCAAAACTTAAGCGAAAGCCAGAACATTATCTAAGATGGATCTTATAATTTTATCTAACAGTTAACAGCAGGCGCAAAGTTATGAAAAAAACCCTATTGTCAAAAAAAATTTTTAAATATACGTTTTTTGAAAATTTATGAACGCATTTGGGTTCAAGTGAAGCAATTAAATGGCTTGATACGAGCCGTTTCTGTAACAGCTTGATACGAGCCGTTTCTGTTGCTTTTATGCTCTCATATCTTTATGCTTTATGCTCTTATATCTGTGGCAGTTTTCTGCAAATGTTTAGCTTTCGCTTATGCCTGCTTATAGTATTTTTGGGGTCGAAATTCTTACTGGTCATTAATAAAAAAAACACTTTAATTACACATCGAAACAAAAAAAAACACTTTAATTGCACATCGAAATTAATTTCAATACACAAGTGTATGTCAAATGTTTTCTGTTTTTTTTCTATCAGTTCATAAAAATATTATAACATCATTAGATATACATAGTTACAATAACAATAAACAAAACAAAATCTTTTACAATTATCGATGATTACTTTTCACCTGAGAGCTTCAAGGTGGTTTAAATTTAAATGTTATTATATAAACTTGAAGCTTTTCCATGAAACTTTACCATGAGTTGCCACAGAGGG